CCAATGACAGTTGACCTCATATTATTGATATTTTATTAAATTTTTTGAAAAAAGTGAATGTTGAAAAAGGAGTAAAATAATTGTTTAAATATTTTTGAGACAAATCTTACAATTAAAAGACAAGTTTAAAGTTTCACTAACTTTTTTTAAAAACATGATGTTTTTCTGGAATATGAATAATTTTAAACATCTATCACTTTTTTCGTAGTTACACTCAATTTTCTTTATTTTAATTTTATTGGATAGAAAAAAAGCGAGAACTATGTTATTCAACTAATGAAATTCTAGAAATTTATATAATATTTAAAAATCTGCACACGTGGAACATTGACAGATGTGGAAATCATAGATAATGTCAAAGGAATATCAGAAGAAGCTGAAGATCATATTGATGAATCGAAAGTGAATGCAAAAGAAGTAGAAAAAGCTGTAGAATTCTTATAAACTACTCTTGAATCCCAAGAAAATGTTTGCTATGAGCAATTTGCGATCTTTTTAACCTCAAAAGAATAATCAAAACAAATAAGGCTATACGTAAAAAAATACGGGAAAATTAATTTTCAGTGTTAAGCGTTAAAACTGTTACGTAGATAGATGTATGTGGTATAATTAAGTTAAAGAAATGTCTATATATTTCCACAAAAAGCAATTAATGCACTCTAAATAGAATTTCTTAATTAAATTTTATTTTTTAAAAGTACCTGTATAACTCGAAACCTCTTTATCTCGAACTTTTCGCCTTTCCCGTGAGATTCGAGATAAATATGTTCGACTGTATCTAAAACATTCATTCATAAAAATTGTAAGAAAAAGGGCTTTATAAGATTACCATTTGAAAAGAACACGAACTGAATATTCACTGAGGCATTTAAAAGGACGTGGAACACAAATTATTTATTTTTCAAAACTGACTTACCTTTACAGATCACATTGTATTCCTTCAACTTCTTATTCTCTTCGCAATTACAAGGCTTAGGTTTTCCATCAGCACCAAGTACACAATCCCCATCTCCACAGTCACACTCTACCAAAAGAGAAAAAGAAGTTTCTATTTCTACATTTAAAGTATTTATTTTATTTTTAATACATGTATCATAAAAACAAATCAATTTGAAAAAACATTTATAAATCTTTTTTTCATTATATTTTAACATCTAAGTTCAGATAAATTGTGAGAAAAAGCATTTCATATGATTATCGTTTGAAAAAGANAAAAATTTTCTATTATTAGTTCATAACTGAATTTAGTATATATTTAGACCATATTATGAAACAATAAACTATTTTTAATTGTATTTAATTTTTATTAATACAGACTCATTCCATCGGAAATGGACCAATGACAGTTGACTTCATATCATTGATTTTTATTAAATTTTTTGTGAAAAGTGAATGTTGAAAAAGGAGTAAAATAATTGTTTAAATATTTTTGAGACAAATCTTACAATTAAAAGACAAGCTTAAAGTTTCATTAACTTTTTTTAAAAACATGATGTATTTCTGGAATATGAATAATTTTAAACATCTATCACTTTTTTCGTAGTTACACCCAATTTTCTTTATTTTAATTTCATTGGATAGAAAAAAAAGCGAGAACTATGTTATTCAACTAATGAAATTCTGGAAATTTATATAATATTTAAAAATCAGCATTTATAAAATATTTAAAAATCTGCACATGTGGAACATTGACAGATGTGGTAATCATAGATAATGTCAAAGGAATATCAAATGAAGAGGAAGAAGCTGAAGATCATATCGATGAATCAAAAGTGAATGCAAAAGAAGTAGAAAAAGCTGTAGAATTCTTATAAACTACTCTTGAATCCCAAGAAAATGTTTGCTATGAGCAATTTGCGATCTTTCTAACCTCAAAAGAATAATCGAAACAAATAAGGCTATGCGTAAAAAAATCCGGGAAAATTTATTTTCAGTGTTAAGCGCATGTTAAAAAACTGTTACGTAGATAGATGTATGTGGTATAATTAAGTCAAAGAAATGTCTATATTTTTCTACTAAAAGCAATTAGAGCCCTCTTAATAGAATTTCTTAATTAAATTTTATTTTTTGAAAGTACCTGTATAACTCGAAACCTCTTTATCTCGAATTTTTCGCCTTTCCCGTCAGATTCGAGATAAATAGGTTCGACTGTATATAAATCATTCATTCATAAAAATTGTCAGAAAAAGGGTTTTATAAGATTACCATTTGAAAAGAGCACGAACTGAATATTCACTGAGGCATTTATAAAGACGTGGAACACAAATTATTTATTTTTCCCCACGAACTTACTTTTGCAGATCCCATTGTATTCCTTCAACTTTTTATTCCCATCGCAATTACAAGGCTTAGGTTTACCATCAGCGCCAAATACACATTCCCCATCACCACAGTCACATTCTGTCAAAAGAAAAATAGATATTTCTATTTCTACATTTAAAGTGTTTATTTTATTTTTAATACATGTATCATAAAAACAAATCAATTTCAAAAACATTTATAAATATTTTTTTCATTATATTTTACAATATTAATTCAGATAAATTGTGAGAAAAAGCACTTCCTATGATTATCATTTGAAAAAGAGACGGAATTAATATTTATCTAAATATTACGACGTGGAGCTTAATTTATTCATTTTCTACCACAAACTTACTTTTGCAGATCCCATTATATTCCCTCAACTTCTTATTCTCTTCGCAATTACAAGACTTAGGTTTACCATCAGCACCAAGTACACAATCCCCATCTCCACAGTCACACTCTACCAAAAGAAAAAAATAAGTTTCTATTTCTACATTTAAAGTGTTTATTTTATTTTTAATACATGTAACATAAAAACAAACCAATTTCAAAAAACATTTATAAATATTTTTTTCATTATATTTTACAATATTAATTCAGATAAATTGTGAGAAAAAGCACTTCCTATGATTATCATTTGAAAAAGAGACGGAATTAATATTTATCTAAATATTACGACGTGGAGCTTAATTTATTCATTTTTCCCCACAAACTTACTTTTGCAGATCCCATTGTATTCCTTCAACTTCTTATTCTCTTCGCAATTACAAGGCTTAGTTTTACCATCAGCACCAAGTACACAATCCCCATCTCCACAGTCACACTCTACCAAAAGAAAATAAAAGATGTTTCTATTTCTACATTCAAAGTGTTTATTTTATTTTTAATACATGAATCATGAAAACAAATCAATTTCAAAAAACATTTATAAATCTTTTTTTCATTCTATTTTACAATATTAATTCAGATAAATTGTGAGAAAAAGCACTTCCTATTATTATTATTTGAAAAAGAGACGGAATTAGTATTTATCTAAATATTATGACGTGGAGCTTAATTTATTCATTTTTCCCCACAAACTTACTTTTGCAGATCCCACTATATTCCTTCAACTTCTTATTCTCTTCGCAATTACAAGGCTTAGGTTTACCATCAGCACCAAGTACACAATCCCCATCTCCACAGTCACACTCTACCAAAAGAAATAAAAGAAGTTTCTATTTCTACATTTAAAGTGTTTATTTTATTTTTAAAACGTGTATCATAAAAACAAATCAATTTCAAAAAACATTTATAAATCTTTTTTTCATTATTATTTACAATATTAATTCATATAAATTGAGAGAAAAAGCACTTCATATGATTATCCTTTGAAAAAGAGACGGAATTAATATTTATCAAAATATTACGATGCTGAGCTTAATTTATTTATTTTTCCCCACAAACTTACTTTTGCAGATCTTATTGTATTCCTTCAACTTCTTATTCTCTTCGCAATTACGAGGCTTAGGTTTACCATCAGCACCAAGTACACAATCCCCATCCCCACAGTCACACTCTACCAAAAGGAAAAAAATGTTTCTATTGTTCATGTAAAAATGTTCATGTAAAGTAATTATTTTATTTTTAATATTATATGTCATTAAAAAAACAATTTCAAAAAACATTTATAAATTTTTTGTTCCTTATATTTTACACTATTAATTCATATAAATTATAAGAAAAAGCACTTCATATGATTATCATTTGAAAAAGAGACGGAATTAATTCTCACCTAAATATTACGACTTGGAGCATAATTTATTTATTTTCCCTAAAAACTTACTTTTGCAGACTCCATTATATTCTTTCAACTTCTTATTCGGATCGCAATTACAAGGTTTAGGTCTACCAACAGTATCAAGTACACAATCCCCTTCCCCACAATCACACTCTGTTAAAAAATAAAGTTTTTTTATGTATTAATTTTATTTTTATAGTAATTAATTTGTTCAAATATATGACTTAAAATATATATAGTCTTAAATCATACTAATTTTTTGTAAATTATACTTTACCCTATCATAAATCATAAAATTTTCAAGAAACAGCACTTTAAGTTATTATTTTTTTAAAAGGAGATGCGACTAATATTCATTAAAGTATTATATTGTAATGGGTATAATTTTCCCACTGTCACGAAGTGCACAATACCCCTCCTCACAACAATATACTATATATATATATATATATATATTATTCTCATAGTAAGTAATTTTATTAAAACAAAATGAGTAAAAAATAAATGATGCTCTGAGAATATTTGTTTAAATTTTTTTTTCACCTTATAGTGTAAATTTGCAATAAAAGGGCAACAAATAATAACAAAAATTTAAAGTTTTGCAATGAACAACATAACTCTATATAAGGTTAAAAAAAAACCAAAAATAAAAAGAATATTAACGCTATTGTAATTATATTATTTCTCCTTCAGAGATTTTAAGAGATTAAGAAGGGCCTTAAGAGATTTTTAATACATAAACGAATCATATTTGTGACTTTTTATACGAAAAGAAAAGTATAAATGTATAAAAAACTTGGTTTGACTGATTTAAATGCATTAATATAAAACAAAGACAATTTCAAAAATTAAGTATATTGATTGTAACTGTAAAAGGCTCATAAATTGTTTCAAAAAGTTATCACTAAGCAAATGCTATTAGTCAAAGGTATCTGAATTCTGAAGTTAGCACGGTTACCTTTTCGGTTTATTTTCTGCTCAAAACGTTTGCTTTTTATGAGAAAATGTGCATGGTAACAGGGATTATCTTAAATTTCTCATTAGCTAGTGAAACTGATAGTTACTATGATCACTATACAAATTCGCTATTTAGAAACAATTCTCACCAAATTCTCTACATTGAGTATAAACCAGAAAAGTATCATCTAAAATACTTTTGATCTAATGATCGGATTTTTACGTAATTGTTCAAAGTTTGTTTCAAATTTGATCATTAACAAGTGCCATTTGCTAATTAAATTACAAAATCAGACGCAAAAAAAATTTCTCCGAGTAAGAGAACCATTTTTTTTTACAACCCATTTAGATTTTTGACCAACAAAAAATAAATTAGGGAAGCTATCAGATGGGGTTCAACAGTTTTGTCAGGATAGCGATCGAAGTTTTGGGCCAATTAACTCCGTCTCTGTCGGCATGGCATCTCATACCTTCAGCGGTTTTGTGCTCGTATGATCGGAATCGTATGCCATGCGATGAAGAGAAAAGTTGCATCATTGAAATTTAATTGATGGATATTTACACGTCTCTTTAAGTCCCGCGATTATTTTTGTACTTCGGAATATTGATCAGAGGTTTGCAACTAGCCTCAATTTTTTAAACAATTTTCGTAGTGAAATTTCTCACCTTGAATTGAAATCAAAATCCTTTTCTACTTTTTGTAATTTCGCTTTCTTTGTGCTACCGTTGTATGTCAAAATAGTAATGATGTATTCCTAGAGTTAGCCCGGGGACTGTGAATTCATTATCTCTCAATCGGAAGATTTACCGAGTTAAGTCGGATATCTTTTACCTAATTTTAATAATTATTTCATGCGAATATTTACCTTGCAATAGAGTCAAAAAGCACTAGAGTCAGTGGAATTAATATGTTATCACGGTTTATTTTTTAAGATAAAACTTGGGGGTTAGAATATTAGCATATAATAATTTTTAAAATTAGGTAGAACATTATATATTTCACCACCATGGTGGTGAAATATGTAATGTTTTACCTAATTTTAATAATTATTTCATGCAAATATTTATCCTGAGCATTTTAAAGCATTGGAGTCAATGTAATTAATATGTTATCACGGTTTATTTTTTTAAGATAAAACTTAGGGGTAGTATTTGCATATAATAATTATTAAAATTAGGTAAAACATATATTTCACCGCCAATAGGTGGTGAAATATGTGATGTTTTACCTAATTTTAATAATATTTTATGTAAATATTTATCTTGAGCACTTTAAAGCAATAGAGTAAATAGAATTAATATGTTATCACAGTTTATTTTTTAAAGATAAAACTTGGGTGCATTGCAGGGGAAACTGGAGATCAATGGACGGGACATCACATATTTCACCACCAATGTTTCAAGCAAAACACTGCTTCTTAATAAAAATATTTTGCATTTTCGAATATACAATAAAACATATATCAATTTTCCACAGTAAAAATATGCTTTTTCTGAGTTAGAAATTGAAGAAAAAAAAAGAATTTGGCAGAGAAGTGGCTAATGTTAATTCCACTATTTCGCAAAAATTTTAAGATTCGTTTTTAGAAAGAGAATCACTTTGATAATTTCAATAGGTTTTTATATTTAGTATTTACTTACAACTAAGCATTTGCCTACAACTGTAATATTTGCTTTTTAACTCGTGGCAATTGTATAAAAATTTATTTGCTAGATGTACATCTTTTTAAACCATCATAAACAATGTAATTTGAAATGATTTTTTTTTTCAAATTGATCTAATAGTTTCGAATTGTACCTTTATTAAAGTACAAAATAGAATTATTATCATGGAAAACTGTGTCTTTTGAAGAAAACATAAAAACTGATTGCGTTAAAAGCAAATTATTGACAGTGCAAAAATATTTGTTTAATTTCAAATTAAAAAATTCTCCCTCACACAGCGAAAAACTAAAATCAGTTGAATGGTAGGGAATTTATTGAAAATTTAATAACGAAAAAAATTGTTGACCCCTTTAAAAAAAAATACTACTTTAATAAAGGTACACGTCCAGTTTTCAAACGGTGTCCGACACATTTGTTCCAAGCAGGGAGTTCGAGTCATTCGTGGTCTGTAATCATTATGCCTTTTACCTCGTTATGATGCATATTCAAGCAAATTATAATATGAATTAATAAACATTCAGCGGTTCGGTGCATACCTCTGCGGGTACCTTTCGCGATGCAAACAAACTATAATACGAATTAATAATCATCCAGCGGTTCGGTGCATACCTCTACGGGTGCCTTTCGCGATGAAACAAACTATAATACAAATTAATAAACATTCAGCGGTTCGGTGCATACCTCTATGGGTACCTTTCGCGATGCAAACGAATTATAATATGAATTAATAATCATCCAGCAGTTCGGTGCATTCCTCTATGGGTACCTTTCGCGATGCAAACAAACTATAATACGAATTAATAATCATCCAGCGGTTCGGTGCATACCTCTATGGGTACCTTTCGCGATGCAAACAAACTATAATATGAATTAATAATCATCCGGCGGTTCGATGCATACCTCTATGGGTAGCTTTCGCGATGCAAACAAACTATAATACAAATTAATAAACATCCAGCGGTCCGGTGCATGTCTCTGTGGGTACCTTTCGCCATGCAAACAAACTATAATACGAATTAATAATCATCCGGCGGTTCGGTGCATACCTCTATGGGTACCTTTCGCGATGCAAGCAAACTATAATACAAATTAATAAACATCCAGCGGTCCGGTACATGTCTCTATGGGTACCTTTCGCGATGCAAACAAACTATAATACGAATTAATAATCATCCGGCGGTTCGTGCATACCTCTATGGGTACCTTTCGCGATGCAAACAAACTATAATACAAATTAATAAACATCCAGCGGTCCGGTGCATGTCTCTGTGGGTACCTTTCGCGATACAAACAAACTATAATTTGAATTAATAAATATCTAGCGGTTCGGTAAATATTTCTACGGGTACCTTTCGCGAGGCAATATTTCGAGTGCATTTCTGTTAAAAGAATACGATGTGCTTATAAGTTAATTAAACTGACT